CGCTCCAACTTCCAACGACCGTTCATCCCTTGATCACACAGCATCTCACCTTCAGGCGGCAAACGTCGCCTCGCTTCTGCCAAAGACCGTATTGAGGAACGGTCGAGTCTCAGTTTGGCACATTTCGAGCGGCTTGACGACTTCTAACAGCCTGGCGCTTTGTTCGTCACAAGGTATTGTCCCAACCTGAACTGTTCTAGGTCAATATTATTGTAGATTTTCATATATCATACTATTTGTTTCCCGTAAGTTCTCAATCCTTTAGTTTCTGCATTGGTAAGTACATCTTGAAGCCGAGAACGTGTAGTTGGGAGCTTGGTTGTTGGGTGTGGGAAAAAACAGTAAGTTTACCAATCGTCAAAGTTCTCAGATGCTCACTCGTGTCTGAAGGTGTTCACAACGCGGCGAAAATTATGTCAAAGGCACGGTCAGCCATCCAACAAGATACCCTTGCTTGGCTGACACTGAGAGCTGCGGCCTCACGAGCCACGGTTAGCCAATCTCGCGTCTTGTCGCATGCGACGGGACTGAGTGGCCGCCTCAAAGCTCTCTAATAATAGTCGTAAGGCGCTACCTAACTCTTCAGCGGGCGACGATGAGGCTACCCAGAAGGCAACCATTCTGGCAGATGGTTGCTGCCTTAGGCCCCACCCCAGAAGGTGAAGCTGCGGTACCCTTATGGGCAACGTCCGTCTCTTAATCTGTCACCAACAGCATCCGGCCAGATGGTCGAGGGGTGGTTGTGCGATGACTAGCTAGCGTTGACGTTCCGCAGTGAGTCAGCGTACGCATCGTTCGATCCTCGATAGCGCCACTGTTGGACCTCCCTTTTTTTTTTTGGTGATCTCAAAAGTCGGATGGTTTTATTTTTGCTCCGTCTGCTGTTATTCGCTGGACCCTGTTCAAGTCTCTAATCTCAGCAGCCACCTAGAAATTGTTAGTTGTTTTATCTTTTGTGAATTATTCTGCTGAGCATGCCCTCCCTAGCTTCCTTCATAACGTGAAGCATTGCTTTTGGGTCCTGGCGAAGCTTAATGCAGACAAAACGTAAACTGCGGGTTCCATCCTATTCTCCCTCTCACTCCCTGCTCCTATTGAAGACAAGCTCATAACGCACGTGTTGTGGTCTAACTTAAGTGAGGCGTCGAATGCCAGCGTGAGGGTGTTGACAAATTCAAACTTGGAAGTAGACTATTTTGGAAGGAGCAGCTGAGCGGTTGCCTTTCAGGTCTAAAACGCAGCGAGAACACTCTCCATGTGACATTATGTTCAGGCAAGCCTTCAATCATGAGGAGAGTCACATTGAGATTCTTCCATCTCTCTGAGCAAGGACACTTGGCCATAGTAACTGAGGCCACTCGTGCAGACAATTGAGCCGACTCCGTTTCCTGCCTAACTTATCTAAGGGCAGTCATCAGATAACATCAGGAACAACCAAGAGGCTTCTCGGCTGTAAATACATGAGCTTAGGAAACGACCCGGTCTGCCCTTGCGACCTGGTTTCATCTGGCCAACGAAGGCTCCGTTCCTTTGTTGACACAACATGAAGAGTGAATACTGACTGCTAAGTTGCAGGCAACTTGCCCTGCCCCCTAGCTTCGGCATGGGAAATGAATTTTGAGTTATGAAGTCATATATACAAGCATGATTGACTTATATGCAGCATATTTCAGCCTATGTATCAATACGTTGGTTGCCAGCGATGCCCACTTAGAAAGGCCGCTATCTGTTGTCATTCTATTGCCGTTATAGATCGTTCAGGGCTTCTGTAAAAGTGAGACGTCGGTGGACCTGTAGCTCACGATAGATCAGAGCGTTCAGGTAGTTGAAGCTCCAGGTGAATAGCTGGGTAGGGCCAGACCTTAGCTTGTGAGACTTGGTTTGAGTAATGCCAGAAAAGGTTGCCCAGAGTGAGCTCGCCGTCCGCACGGCGAAATGTTCTCCGGGGCTGCATGTCCTCCAGGCGAGGTTGCCTTTATAGGAAGTTCAGATCCCCTCCTTTCTAACAATTCGGCTGGGTGGTCGAGGGGTGGTTGTACGATGACTAGCTGTCGTTGACGTTCCGCGGTGAGTCAGCGTACCTGTCCTTCGATCCCCATATCGGCCATTCTTTTTTGTTTTTCTTCCCGATTTTGATCTTACTATCTATTCGTCTGATAACGTTCACCACTGCCTCGGCCCGCGGGCTATGATATCCGGAAGGGAAGAAGGTCGTGTGAATATCTTCAACGATCTACTAAGCGACGTCTGTAGCTACTACCTACGTATAAGTGTTGATAACCGGAACATCAAAGTTCAAAGTCCTAAATAAGTTAATCTCAAGTGTTCTATTCCTCCTCACCTGGGACACTTCATTTAGCTGGTGACCTTTGCAAACTGAACAAACTGCCTAATGATCAAGTCTGCGAGAAGGCGAAGATATGTGGTATCTGTGCCGTAGATAAAGATTATCATCGTACCTTGCTTGTTTTCATGCCAGGTTTATCCGCTCACTCACTCCGGCGAAGGTCAAAAGTTCTCACACGACAACTGCAGGACAGCCGTTCTTTCTCTTCTGGGGCTCAACTCACCGCGTGGCACACCTGCCTCTAATTCACTGCCACTCCCCTCTCACCTCACCTTTCTCACCTTTCTCACCTGGTCAATCCACAAATTGCATCTCCTCAGCAACAAATATCTACTGATCTGAGGTAAATCCTGATCACTTCCGATCTTTTCCATCACAACTCCAACCCGACATCCACCATCCTTCGAGAAGACCATCATCCTTCGAGAAGACCATCATCCTTCGAGAAGACCACCATCCTCCGAGACCCATACCAAGTTGAAAAGATGGCGAAGCACAGTGTTGCCAGAAGAGTCCTGGGTGCTCAGAAGGGCTTTTACTTCCCTTCTGGTGCCATCATTCCCGATCGCGATGCCGTCCGTCAGATCATGGACGCTGTTGTCCCTGGCGACTGGCAGACTGCCAAGGAAGACCAGTTTGACGACTTACGCCAGGAGATGTACACCGCCCTGCTTCAGATATTCCATTGCCTCTTCGACCATGTTGATCTCTACGGCGCCCTTCGCAGCCACGAGGCGTTCTACTCTACCATCGCCTCGAAGATCACGACCAAGGGCGACTTGAACGGCGATCTCATCCGAGTGCTTGAGCGGACTTACACTGCTGCCCGCCGCCGATACACATGCATGCCTAAAGACACCCACCTCAACCACGCCTTTGACGTCTGGATTCAAATCCAGGATACCTTTGTTGGTATTCCCGCTCCCCAGACCATCTCGCTCGCGACCCGACCCAACGATCTCGGTGCTCTCACGGCTCAGCTTCAAGGTACCAGCATCACCGGTGCCGATGCCAATGCCTCTGTTTGGCCTCCTGCCCACTTTCTGCCTCAAGACATTGGAGTTATCTCGTCGAAGGACTTGCGCTCTCTTCTCTACGGCAGAACCACCCAGAATCCCGGCCAGATGCCTCCCCTCCCTACCAAGTACACCCTCCCCCTCGAAGTCCGCGGCTTCCTCTGTGCCCTTGCGCTCGGAAGCTTTCAGCCCACCAGCGTCTGGCAGCTTGCTCTCAACCCCATCGCTCAGTTTCAAGACTTCAACGACCGTCGTCTTTGGGCGAAGGCTACCGGTGACGAGTCCATGTACTGCTTCACCACCGACGCCTATGTGAAGAGAGCTATGGACGACTTCGCATCCGGCAAGTCTATCTCTGTCGCCCTGCTGACCCCTTGGTTCGGCCGCCCCTGGGGCTCCGTTCCCTCCATCGATTCGCTTCCTGGAGGCTCTGCTGGTCAGACTCAGCAACAGCTCTGGTCTGGTATTTGTCCTCGCATGGGCTTCGGACTTGCTATCCACAAAATCGGCGGCAACGACCTCGAGCTCGTGCTCTTTGACCCCATTCGCCTTTACAACCACATCAAGAATGACCAGCAAGTCAAGGCCAACCAGATGGCCATCTTCCGCTTCCGACAGACCATCCAAGAGAAGGTGCAGAACGCTATCCACGCTGCGGGTGGACGTTTGATCCGTGTTTGGTACGGAGGATACGTGGCTATCCACAACGATGCCGACAGCGTCGAGCTCGCCAGCGAGTGGGTTCGTCAGCTCGTCGTCGCTGGTGGTCCTGGTCAAGATCCCTTGGCCGTCGACGATGCCACCTGGGTCCAGTCTGGCTTCGAGTTGATTGAAATGTAATGATGGGACAGAGACATACTGGAGAGAAAGGATGAATAGGGGGTGCGATAGGCATGAGAGACAACGAAGAAGAGAGACGACGAAGAGGAGAGACGACGAAGAGGAGAGACGACGAAGAGGAGAGACGACGAAAAGGAGAGACGACGATAAACGAAGAACAAGGCACGTGATGCCACGACGGCAGTGCCGGTCGTCCCAGCTAGGAATTCAAGATTAATACAAAGACTGCATACATGTCTGCCCTGCTGAGTGAGCAAATAAATCAGTCACTATGGCTTTTTGGGGAATGAAAAGTGGTAGATCGGGTCGCGTCATGTTCTGCAGACTCTACACCTTAACAGACCCAGGCTTGCTTGTAGTATGTGATCCAATATGCGTAGAAAACGCCAAAGAACTCCGTGAATCACCAATGAAGACACATGAGACCACATATACAGTGACATCGTAGAGGGGCAGCGCGTTTCTGCAGCGACTCAGCACCCGAATCATGGTAGAATTCCTTGCGATTGGTTCTGGCAGGTGTTGAAATCGGGATTAGTGGTGGCTTACCATTGAAATCGTAGCCAGCAAGGCTGCGCACCTTTGGAGCTATTTGACTCTGTCAGATTTTCAGCCTACCCTTGTGGATGCTCGCCACTCTGGACGAGAGCATATACAAAGTCTGCCATTTGGTCACTGGGATTGCCGAGCATCTTCCATTCTTGCACCTACAAAATCGACCCGTCTGCGAGAAACCTCTTACGACAGTGCACCCTCACATTCGCTCAAGCAGCCCTTTAGCCAAACTCATAACAACGATGAGTCCATACAACTGGTTCGACCTGCCCACGGAGATCCGCTTCAGGATTTTGGATCTGTTGGCTAACACACCAGCAGACAAGACCAAGCGCAGGGCGTGGCCCAGCGTCTGCTGGGACTGGCGCCATTTCTTCGAGGATCGCAACTTCTCGAGTCTGATGCTCCGGTCCTATACAGATATCCACACGTTCTCCGACTACGTCACCGATCACCTCTGCGAGAAGGTCAAGCACATCAGACTGCACGTACCCCTCCAGGTCTACACCTGTAGAGAGTGCGATAGCCCAGAGAACCATCGCCAGATCAAAGCCAACAACGCAGCCTTCACTGGGCGACTTCTACTTCTGCTGAACAAGCTCGCTGTGTGGCAGCCTGGAGGCGGAGCGCTCACGCTCGAGATCAGTGCCGCCTCAGCCAGCGATACGGCGCACATCCTGGACGACGCCCCGGTAACAAGACAGCGAGGGCTCTGTAGGGTTTCTTGGGGAGTGCGTATACGCAAGTACCACGACCCAGGCGTCCATCTAGCCAAGAGACGGCTTCTCGGGAACCTTCTCGACATCGACACGAGCATCGACCCCAGAAGCCGCGGCGCTGATTTGCGGTTCAACCAACTCCAGGTACCGGTCGTCACACATTTCATCGTCAGCCGCGAGTCGCGTCGGAGTCTTTCTGCAGAGGCGATAGATACCGTCTTCAGTTGTCTTCCGAGACTGCGAGAGGTCGTTTTTGAGCCTTGGCGCGGTATAACGACAATGGACAGAGGGGAGCGTAACCGGGCGACTCGTCACCTGCTCAGACGCTTGCCGAAGACGGTAAGCAGCGTTTCGTTCCAGGAAGCGCGGGCGGAATACTTGAACGACAACGTCGTCGCTGGTGATGACCCGCGTCTTACGTCCGCTTGGGACGCCCCCCGTCGGTTCAAGCAATCTTCCATGCACGATCTCATACTGGCGCAGTGCCGCAGAGACTCCAGCCTAGCCCTCGACGCCGTCGCAGCCTGCAACCAACTACAGTCCTTCAGCGCATCTTCGCCCATCGACGCGTTAGACATCCTCCGCGGCTTCGCCGCCACCTCTCTGGGCAGGTACAACCCTCGCACGCGGCCGTTCCTCACGACGTGGCCGTTTCTCACGATGATCAACTTGAGGACCCCACGGGTGCTTGAACCCCAGCTGGGAAACGAGCTCCTCCTCGCAGCTGGGGGAGCGGCTGCCCAGATGCCCCAGCTGAGGCTTATGGAGCTTTGGGATGCGCGAGAGACTATCGGGACCGTGCTGCGCTACGAGGTGTGCGATGTGCACACGGCACTAGAGCTGGAGACGACGATAGACAGCTTCACTATTGGTCTGGATGCTCTGGAGGTTTGGAGGGCAATGGTACGGGACCGGCATGGACGAGAAATGAAGGACAACACGACGGTTCTGGGTCAAGATGTCGTCAAGAGGTTGAGTTGTTTTCGTACGCGTCTCCGGCTGCGTGAGTCAGCCTTGGCTAGAGACTGGGACATACTCGATGTGTATGAAACTGCCTGAAGTATTTAGACCTTCATGTATCGGGTCTACGTTCATGATGGGCAACAATTTGGCTGGCACATTCATCCTGGTAAGAACAATTTGGTGAGAACATAACAACGAAAAGCACGGCGGTGAATCTGAAATGGCTGAATTCGATTGCTTTTTGTGACCAAAGACGCATGCATCTATGAAGAATGATGGGAGCTCTATCCGACCCCGATGCAAATATCTTCATCATTACGTCGTCCCACCCCCCTGACGCATCAAACGCATCCCCGAAACTCCGGTTTACATGATGACCTCGTTTGCAACATCCTATCGTCATTAGCATTCGTTGCGCGACTGAGGAAAACAGCAGACTCACCCTCTTCAACTCCTTGAACGGCAGGCAGACACAGTTCTGCACCCGCACCTCATCGCCGACACCGCAGTCTTTGCCGAGGATGGTGATGCTCTGGACCTTGACGCCGTTCTTGATGATACTCGTCGTGTGGCTGCCGACGGGCGTGGGGGTACCCTCGACACGGGCCCAGGCGCCGACGCGACTGCCCCAGCCGATGATCGAGTACAGAACGCAAGCGTCGTGCTTGATCTCCGAGTCCTCGAGAACGATGGATTCCTTGATGCGAGCACCCGGGCCGACGTGGACACGGGGGCCGATGGAGACGTTGGGGCCCAGCTTGGCGGTGGGGTCGACGTGGGCGGTGGGGTGGATGAAGACGGGAGCGATGATGTTGGCGCTCGGCTCGGCGAGCTCCTTGGAGCCGCTCTGCCAGGCCTTCTGCAGGTACAGGGCGTTGGCTGGGACGGCGGAGCCGGCGGTCTTGATCTGGCGCCAGAAGTCCTTGGTCTCGTATACGAAGAAGTGCTTGGTGTCGGCGAGGTCACCGAGGATGTCCTGCTCGAGGCGGATGACCTCGTTCTTGCGCTCCTCGTCGTCGTCGTTGAGGATGAAGCTGTTCTCGAGGTTCTCGGAGCTCGGGTAGGAGACGAGGCGGGAGGGGCGGTCGGTGCGGCGCTTGATGGCGGTCTTGATGGAGGGGAAGATGGCGTCGGTGGAGAAGAGGTAGACACCGCAGTTGATCAGGTTGCTGATTTGCGACTCGGGCTTCTCGACGTAGTGGAGGACGCGGCGGGTGTGGGCGTCGCTCACGATGCAACCGAAGTTGGTGGCGGCATCGTTGGAAACGCGGGTGCCGAGAATGATGGCCTCGGCGCTCTTGTCGTGGAAGAGCTGGAGCATCTCGTGGAGAGGGAAGGAGCAGCAGACGTCGGCGTTCAGGACGAAGAGGCGCTCGGGGCGGCCCTTGAGGATGGCATCGCGGAAGTGGTAGAGACCGCCAGCAGTGCCCAAGGCCTCGTACTCGCGCAGGTACTTGATCGAGAGGTTGGGGAACTCATTGGTGGCGTCCTTGATAAAGTCGCGGAAGACGGACTCCTCGTAGTAGCCGATGATGAGGACCTCGGTGATCTCCTTGCCGGGAACGCGCTCGATGGCCGTCAGGCAGTGCCAGATGATGGGGTGGCCGGCGACTTCGAAGAGGGGCTTGGGGACGTCGAGGGAGAGGGGGCGGAATCGAGTTCCTCTGGAAGGACCGCCAACCTGGAGTTTTGAAGAGTCATGGTTAGCCTGCGATTGTTTCGTTTGCAGAAAAGCTATTGTTGTTGTGGTTTAGGCATGGGAACATGAGGGGAGGAGGGGAGCGACCCTGGACCGAGGCGGGGGAGTTGGAGATGGTTGCGCCGCAGATTCAGAGGATGAATGCGAAAAAGGGTTGCTCATACCAGGATGACGGCCTTGGTTGCGCCCTCTTGGGACGCCTTTCCTCGGTAGGGGACCTGCAGCGACATGTTTGCGACTGGACGAAGGTTTGAGGGTGGTGATGGTAGGTCGGAGGGTGGGAAGTAGAGAGCAGAATCGCCAATTTGCAACGTCACCGCTTCGTGGGATTGATTTCGAACAGCCCCCCCTGAGAAGTCGACCTTGACGTCCACCTGAGCTGCACCACACTGCTGGCTGGTTGGTCTGGTGGTCTGGACTAAGAATAATTTACAGGCGATGCATGTCTGGCAGGGGTCTGGGTGGCTCGTGCAAGGCCGGGTTGTGGCGGCAAAGTCCCTTACTGTCTGGATAAAGGCGATAAGCTGGCGATAAGAGGTAACTGCTCACTGAGCAAGCCTCAGCAGCTGCACAAGTTGCACAGGAGCAGGGACCACATGTGATGAGCTCAGCATCTCATTCGTGTCCCTTGAGATTCACCATGCGTTTTCCTTTCTTTTTTGAGGTCTTGAGTTGCAGCTGTTATCAATGGCATATGGGTTCTCTTTGATTCTTTTTTCTTAGAATAATCAGTAAGGCCAGATCAAAAAAATAGACATTTATTCAGATGCATAACTGCCCAGCAGCATAACTTGGAGCATCTGATCGAATTCAGTTGTGTCATTCTTTGCAGAGGCAGCAAGTTTGGTGTAAGTCAGACAACCTCCTCCAACCTCTTCGAGAATTTTGGAGATCCGGGCACTTTACGCGTAGAGACAAGAGCGCGTCCGAGCGTGTTTGCCTGTGGTAGACGCGACAGGAAGTGCCTGGAAAGCAACCGGAGTGACCTCGTTGACCAGGTGAGGCCTCACATCTCACCCGCAAATTTTGGCAGATTGCGGTGCGCTTTGGGGAGCTCTGCCAGGTACCAAACCGCGTCTCTCCAGGGGATCGTCACGGCCAAGCTCCACTGCTGGCCACTCGAGCCATCCCTGAGCTCCTTTAAACCCCTGCTCGATAAAACTCCAACGATGCACCTCGTCTACTCCAGCCCGCAATATTTCCTGCTACCGAGTACAAGAGACTACAATGCACATCACCACATATGACCAGCGTTTTTGCCGTAGATATGTCTAAAACTCTGTCAATCGACTAAATAGATCTTGAGATACAGCTTGAGGAGTTTTTATTTGTTTTTGACCGTTTCTGATGAGCAAGTGACGACTAAGCAACACCACCCTCAAAGTCACGCCTAACGCTCACAAGCACTTTAATGAGCATCACTGGAGCGTGGGACCTCACGTTGCTCTGGCCGACGCAGACGGGGAAAGAGCTCTTAAGGCTCTGCTCCCCGAGCTCCTTCCTCCAGCTTCTTGAGCTTCAGGTTGCACCTACCGACTTACCGTCTGCCTTGCCTCACGTCCCTTCTCTCTTCTTTTTCGCCGTTGCCTGTTTAGACCTACACGTTCTCCCACATTCTCTTCACTCTTTAAAAATCTCCCACCTCTCGATCGGACCTTCTCCTAATTTCTTCTCATACCCACCTTCATCACCACCAACACTTCTCGACACACATATCTCACTTGAACTTCGTCCAACATGACGAAGTCAAAGAGAGGTATCAAGGCAGAGCCGGGATTCCATGCACCGGTGTCGCCGACTGCCACTTTGAACGGATCTCCCGTTCAGCAGGAGAGAAGCCAGGCTCCTCCGAGCACCTACTCATCAGCAGCGGATGCATCTCAAGTGTTTCCCAGATCCAACGCTCGTAAGTCACCTACCTCACAAAGTCTTCCGTTATTTCCAGATACTGACATTTCACAGCTCCCCCCTCCAACAAACCGCCTATGAGCCTGGCAACTCGGTCCGTCCGCACTGCCATGACGAACCCCACTGTCGATGATAGTGAGCCCGTCCTGATGCAAGTGAGGAACCGCGAGATGGCAAGCCCTTTGGGAGGCACCCAGATGGACTCCTCGTTCTTCGATGGCTCCTTCCGCGACATTGGCGCGAAGCTCAAGGTCTTCAATGACACTCTTGGTGAACTCCAGCAGATCGGTGTTTCTCACGATGTCGCTCTCCCCCAACTCGTCTTAGTTGGTGACCAGTCCGCTGGCAAGAGCAGCTTAATGTCCGGACTTGCTGGCCTCAACCTTCCGCGCAGTGATGGGGTTTGCACTCGCTGCCCTATTCACATTCGCGTTTCTCGTAGCATGGCGAGAGATCGCGGCGGTCCCGAGTGGTCTTGTCGTGTATCTCTCCAGCAGGACTACGCCTTTTGCCCTCCTGGCGATTACGAGATCACCAAGGCCGACGTCACCCCGCAGAACCCTTTTCCGCCCTGGGTTAAGCAGCCTCGCGTTGTCAAGGAGTTCATGACCATTTACGATCAATCCGACATTGACACAGTCCTCCGATGGGCCCAGATCGCCATCCTCAACCATGACCAGAATCACGAACTCTACATTCCCGGCACCGGCGCAATCACCAAGCAAAGTCTGCTGGACGAGGAGGCGGAGAGAACGGCTGCCAAGTTCAGCCCCAACACGGTAGCCCTCGAGATCAAGGGTCCCGACCTGCCCGACCTCTCTTTCTACGACATGCCGGGCATTTTCCGCAACTCAGCCCGGGAGGAGGATGAGTACCTTGTCTCTGTCGTGGAGAACTTGGCTCGCGAGTACATCTCCCATGAAGGCGCCCTCATCATCTGGGCTGTCCCCATGAACGTCGATCCTGAGACCTCGTCTACGCTCTCAATCATCCGCGATCTCAGGGCACAGCAGCGTACCATCGGCGTGATGACCAAGGCAGACCTCCTTCCCGAGGGTAACTATGCCCAATGGCTTTCTATGTTGAGCGGAGAGCGCCACAGAATCGGTCACGAATTCTTCATCACTTCCCGACCGTCTGACCGCAAGCTTGAGGAGCAGCAGCTGTGGGAAGAGGCTTACTTTCATGACAACTCTAGTGCACGTTGGCCAGAGGAGTTCCACTCGTTCCGTGACAGATGTGGCGTGGAGAAACTCAAAACAGCCCTCTCTGAGAAGTTGGGCAAGGAGTTTGCCAAGAAGTGAGTAGTACATCTCTCCGCCCTGCCTAAGTTTTGATGCTAACGACATGACCCAGCCTGCCATCGATCAAGCAGAAGGTTGTGACCCGCGTGCGCGAGATTGAAGCGCAGCTCAGCACACTTCCCGAACTGCCTAGCAACGTCGAGCTAGAGGTCCGTAAGAGTTTGATGAACTTTTCGAGCATTGTC